GGGTACCACAGGCCACACTGGGGTCAGCTTAGCTCTCCAGTAGGGGCACACATTGTGAAAGTTGCTAGCTTTCTGTATTATACTGTGTAGAAGTTGGGAATGCGCTTGGGAGTTATGATGTCTGAGGTTTCTTGTTTTAGCAAAGACATTCGGTATACAGTTTAAAAGTTTAAAATTCTTTTGGTGATAAACAGCAGACAGGAAGTTAATTTGGGTATAAAATCTCAGTGTAGGAACTTGACCGATGACTGAGCAGTTAAGAGCATGTACTGCTCTGGCAGAGGATCTGAGTTTGGTCCCCAGCACCCACATCAGGTGGCTCACAACTTCCTGTAACTGCAGCTTCAGGGAATCAAACACTCTCTACTAGACTCTGTGTGCATCCACACGCATGTGCATAGACCTACCCTTCCCATCCCCCTCCACATACACATAATTAAAACATAATTACTCTTTAAAAAACCTCAGTGTAAAAAAATACAAAAAAAACCTCCATCTTTTCAAATATACAAGTGTAACATATATGATAATTTTTATGAAGAGTGCAAACAAGGATTTGGTAAATAAGCGCACCCGTGTTGTGCAATGCCCGTGGAGGACAGAAGAGGCTGTCAGATCCCCTGGAACTAGAGTTATGGACATGTGGGTGCTGGGATTCGAACCCGGGTCTTCTGCAAAACAGTGTTCTTAACTGCTGAGCCATCTCTCCAGCCCCCACAAGGACTAGGTTTTATAAGCTGCTTGCCTGTGGGTTATGAAAGTACTAAAGACCACAAATAGGGATGCCAAAGGGTGGGGCCCTCTGACTAGACAGAATGCTGGCATGCTTTTCAGCCAGAAAATTGTCATTAGGGATCAGTTTCAGAAAAGTAGTTGAGATAGGAGTCACTAAACATCAGTTTGGAACCTTAGCAGGAAAAGTATAAAATCACATGAGTGTTTCTTACATTTTTTTATCAGAAATATGCAGATGTTTATCATCTTTTCATTTCTCTAGTGAAAAGCTTTGTGGAGCCCTGAATTATAATAAAAATTACTTTGTGATTGGTTTGGAAAACAGGATGAGGTTATCACTTTTTCCCCTGACCTTAGGATATTTTTGATTTTAGGCTTGGCATCATAGAGCATTAAAAGCAAAGTTAAGATTACCCTTAATATGCATGGCTGGCCCCCTAAACATACTTCACTATCTCCATATTTCTGATTTCTTTGGCACATGGCAAATATGCAAGGAAATCGAGCCTTAATTGTCATGCAATGCACTTGGAGACCAGAAGAAGGCATCAGATCTCCTGGAACCAGAGTTAAGAACGGTTGTTAGGCGTCTTGTGTGTGCGGAGTACTGAACCCAGGTCCTCAGGAAGAGTGGTCAGTGCTCTTAACTCCAGCTCCACACCCTCTGCATTTTTTAAAAAATTTAATTATTGCAAGATGTGGTGGTGCATGTCTTTAATCCCAGCACTTGGGGGGCAGAGGCAAGCAGATCTCTGTGCGTTCAAGGCCAGCCTGGTCTACATAGTGAGTTCCAGGACAGCTGGGGCTACAGGGAGACCCTGTCTCAAAAAGACCAAAAAAAAATTTTTTTTTAATTATCAGTATATTCACAGGGAAGCAGGAGGAGCTAAGAGTCAACACAACACTGGATTTGAATGTTGTTAGCCACTTATTAGCTGTGTAACCTTAGGCATAGTACATGACCACCCTGGGTCTCCATGTTCTCATCTATACAATGGGGGAAACCATAACCTGTTTTATGGAGTAGGCATGAGGCTCAAAATGATTACCTCTGAAACACTTAGCACACACCCTACATATAGTGAGTACTATAAAATGGTCATTTAGTAAGCAAATTACAACCACTTTTAAAACATTGAACTTGAAAAATACTTTTATAGTCAGGCATGGTAGCACACACCTGTAATCTCAGCACCTGGGACCTTGTCTAACAAAACCAAACGAAACCAAACCAAACCAAACGAACAAAGAAAAACAACCAGAAGAATAACAACTGTCTTTAGAATGTACACGATGGGTTTGACATTCTTACATGAGAAGCCCTCAAGACATGCAGCTTTATCTAAGCTCTTATTTCATACTTTGGGACTAAAGTACATTTGTGTTCCAGCTTTCCTATACAGTTGGTTATCCATACTGGCTGTACAGAATATAGCTATTCATATGTACTGTGTGTTTTCAGTAGTTAATGTTTTGCTTTCTTATTTATTTGTTTCCAACAGTATTTGGAGATGCATCTTTCATTTGAAAATCAAGGGGAATTTTAGAACTCAACATATATTAAACTGCAGTTGACTTTAAGACCTAGAAGGAGGACTGTGGCCACTAATTTGGCTCTTCACAAACAACTATGTCAACTAAACTGTGTGAGCTAGTGGCAGCTTTAACTACCAGCTTTGCTCAGCTACTGCCACTTTGCTTGACAGATTAACTATTTATAAAAATAAAAGGACCAGATGTGGCATGACAAAGATCTCAAAGAGACAGGGAAGTAAAGGGGGAGGAGAGGGAGGGACCAGCATGCCCCAGCTGTCTTTTGTGAGATTTGAAGTCAGTTTATTATAAGAAAAGAGCTGGGACAGCAGGGGGCAGCTGGAATAGATGGAGGAGCTGGGAGCATCTGGGATGGATAGAGTAGCTAGAGAAGACTCTGGGTGGCAAATACAAATATGATCTCAAGACCTCCTTTTTACTATATATATAATATATAGTAATATATAATATAAATATATACTATATATTTAATTTTATGTGTATGAGTGTAGTATTGCCTGCATGTATGTAAGTGTACCTGTGTCATGCAATGCCTGCAGAGGTCAAAAAAGGATGTTGGATCCCCTGGAACTGGAGTTAGGATGGTTGTTAGCCACCATATGGGTGTTGGGAATCGAACCCAGGTCCTCTGAAAGAGTAGCCAGTGCTCTTAACTGCTGAGCCATCTCTCCAGCCCCTATATTTGTCTGTAAATTTTTAACTGTCAAATCAAATAACCACATTACTGCACTCAGTCCCCAACATCCACAGGCTCAACCAACTGCAAGGAGAAAATATTTAGGGGGAAAAATTGCACCTGTACTAAACATACGCGGAATGTTTTCATCCTCATTATTTCCTAAAAATTGCATTGCAGTAGTGCTTACATCATATTAGCTATAATTAATCTAGAAAAGATTTAAACTACGTGGAGGATGTGTACAGACTATGTGCAAATGAGGCACTTGAACATACTTGATGTTGTTGTCTCCTGGAACCAATCTACTATAGACGGCAGATGTAAAGGGAGAATCTTCTAGAAATTCATGAAAAGTACAAAAAACACAGCACGAACTCTATATAAGCATGATAAACTTTAGAATAGTCATTTACTCCTGTTTTTTAACTGCAGTGTTCATATCTCTAAAGTACTTTAAAAATTTATTTTTATGCACGTGTCTTTCTATTGACATGCATATGCCATGTCTGTATAGGTGCCTGCAGAGGCCAGAAGAGGGCATCAGATCCCCTGGAGCTAGTGTTACAGGCAGTTGTGAGCCACCCAAAGTGGGTGCTGGGAACCAAACTCAGGTCTTCTGCAGAGCAGCAAACGTTCTTAACCACTGACCCATCTCTCCAACCTCTGTAGTGTTTATTTTTTAAGACTAGAGGCACTTTTTACAATGAAGAAAAGTGATATGTATAACTGAAACTCTTTTTTTTTTTTTTTTTAAAGATTTTTTTGTTTTGTTTTATTTTTGAGACAGGGTCTTCCTGTTAGCCCCAGCTGGCCTACAACTCACTATGAAGACCAGGCTGGCTTCAAGCTCACAGAGATTTCACTTGCCTCTGACTCCTGAGTGCTGGGATTAAAGGCAGGCACCATCACACCTGGCTCTTTTTAAGATTAAAAAAATTATTTAATTATGTATATGTGTGTATCTCTGTGTAGGCATGTGCATGTGAGTGCTGGTGCACACAAGGCATTGTGAACTGCCCCACTTGAGTGCTGGGAACGGAACTGAGGCCCCCTGAGAGAGCAGTACGAACTCGTATGTGCTGATCCATCATCTCTCCAGCCCCTGCGGCAGTAAGCCTTTCACTGTGGCTTCCAATGATAATTTCAGAGAAGCCACCAGCTCTAAGTGAGCCGAAGCAACATGATGCTGTTTTATGAAGGAAAAGCTTGATATTTGCCAGTACTTCTGAATAATCAAGTGTCACTGAGCAATGGAAAGCCTCATGTGAGACTAATACTCCCATCAGGCCTGTCACTTTTTAATCTGGCAACTTTTAATTGCCTTCCTTGTTGTCTTGATCAAAACCCACCCATTTCAGTCCTTCTTCCTTTATTGGAGAGAAAATAACAAATACCATAAGGTCTCTGCCTTGGTGAAACATGCATTCTAGTCGGAAAAGAAAGCCAATAAATATGTAAATTAAACAAGCAAGCACATCATTAAATGATGCAATTTCGACATGTGAAATACCAAAAATAAAAGAAACCCTGGCATGGAGTGTGAGGGGCTGAGGGGAGCACACGGGTGGGGAGAACCTCTGATGGCCCAGGTTGTGCAAAGCCTGTTGACGAGGTGGCACCTAATGACCAAGGTCTGAGAAAAAAGAAGTATTCAGTCATGTAAGGTCTCGGGGAATGAATATTCCAGACAGCAGGAGCTTGTACAGAGGATTTCTCCTTTTCAAAGTTTGCATTCCTGATTAAATTCTCTTTCTCTGTACACCCAGCCCTAGTTTTCATACCACAGATCTAGCCCAGGACCTGGCATAGAGTAGGCATTCGACAAAAGGGCACTAGGTACCAATGATATCTGGAACTGTATCTGCTCCATCACAGTCTAAATTGTTAATCGTTGCCATCGATGAGCAAGATGCATACAGAAGCTTCTAGAACTACAGAAAGTATCCACTTGCACAAAAAGGTGAGATTTGTTATGCCACTTAGACAGTCTTTTTATTTATTTAACTTTGGCCTCCTCATCTTAGCCACTTACCATGGCCAGTGTACTCAAAAGAATCCGCTTCATCAGGGGTATCGAGTTCATCCACATTGATATCAATTTCATCTGGACTGTCCAGGTTATCATCAGAGAGAATAGATCCTTCACTTTGATCCAGAGAAAGGTTGATATTTGGAGCTGTGAGCTTGATTCTCTGAGGATGACTGCCATTGAGATCCAGAGAATTGGGAGGTTCTAAAGAAGAAAACAATAGCATTGTTGTTGATCACATACGTGGCTGTCACCAGTGGAATTAGGCTCCAAGGAAAAGCATTTTTGAGGTCTGCTCAAAGTCCTTATAAGGATTTGTCCCTCTCCCCGCCTCCTTCCACCCTTCCCTCCTTTCCTGGTGGAGGGGAGGTTCTTACTATATAGCCCAGGCTGGCCTTAAACTTGCAATGCCCTGCCTCAGCCTCCTGAGTGCTGGGATTACAGACATGAACCACCACGCTTGTTTTGGAGCAGGGCTCACGGCTTCCTCTACCACCATCAGCCCTGGATTTGGGAGATACTGTTTCATGGGTAGAAACTAGGTGTTTTGTTTGTTTAATTCTCTGTTTAGGTTTAAGAATTCAGTATGCTACAATATTGAATTGAATTTTATGGGCTATACTTTATTGTTAAAACACTTAAGCATATATTTCCTCATGGTTCTTGTCAATTTGGCTCCTGCAGAATGGAAGTTAAGAATTTTATCTGCGACATTCATAGAAAATGTCAAAATGCTTTTTTTTTTTTTTTGCAGCTTCTGACTCTTCTGAATATGATCTTCAGTGATCTTTCTTATTTTTCAGGTTTTGTGGTTTTTAGTAAAACCTTAGATCCTTCAGACTTACCAAAGTGCTTGCATTCGTTAGATCCCTCAGACTTACCAAAGCAGTTACTGCTTATGCCAATTTCACTCAACATTAGTTTTTACAACCTACGTGGAGACCTGTGAGGCGGCTGACAGAAGCAGCTGGTCACCCTTTCTTTGTGCTCATGTGCCTTTTATTTGGTAGAAACAGAGTTAAGGAAGTCATTTTTGGCAAATTCCTCTAAACCAAGCAAAGAGAGATACCCTAATGTGGCATAATAAATATATTTTGTCTTCATTTCTAGTTCTATACACAGAGCTCCTGAAATCCTTGAAATTCCTTGAGCATCCCTTTTTATTTACAAGCCCTATTTGAATCATACTGATTTTACAGTTTGACTTTGAAACCACTCTGCTAGGACCTTAAAGGCTTGGGGTGGGTCACTGGTGGTCTAATTGCAACTCCCTCCCCACCACCACAAAAGAAATAAGACAAAAGAACAGTAGAACTCTTGAGCAACAAGGTTTGCTAAGCTTCTACCTTAGTGACTGCGTCAGGGTGCTAGCAGAGTGGACCATCTTCACAGGGTGTGGAAAACACACCCCCCTTCCTTTATATTTTCAGAAGAAAATCATGAAAAATAGCAGTATTTAAAGAGCCCTTTAAATGGAGTTGTGAAGGCATTGTGGGACTGTCACATATACCAAACTGTTCAAAAAAATGAACTCTGGGGCTGGGTGCAGATATATGAACTTTTGAATTGAGCCAAGTCTGAAAAAGCCCTTAACACCTTAGAACGAACGTTGTAGCCTCCAAAAATGAAAAATGAACTTTCAATCTGGAGTTAGACTAGGGATCTAATGTGTGTGGCCTAGTGGTGTATAAGCTGGTGTAACGACCACCCTTCTGTGCCAACCATCTTCCTTTTCATGCGTCTTTTAGAATTTCCCTTGTTCCCAGCTTCTCTTCCTCTTAAAGCCCCTGCATCATTGAACTTCTTTGGGGGACTCGTTCAGAACTATCTGAATCTGTTGTTTCCAAATATGTAATTCCCAAGATCCTAAATAATGTTCTTTGGCTTTTACAGTTTTTGAGTTTGGACTGACATCACAGGTGTCAGAAGTGGCTTGTGAAGTGGCAAGAGAATCTGGTGACTTCCGACTGCATGGTGAATCTTTTCAGCCTCCAAGCCTCCTGCCTCTTTGACTGAGGTTTGAAAACTTTGACTTTCCCTCACTGCCAGTTTCTCGGGAAGAGAATCCCCCACCTACACATCTAGGAGGGGCATCCCTCACGTGGTAAGGATTCAGCTTATAGGAAGGGAAACTTTCCTATGGAGTTACCTCTGGGGAGCCGCTACCCCATGCAACCCCCAATGCTGAACTGCAGCTTCATTTATAACCTAAGCCTATGTGCCCTCTTCCTGCAGATTCCTAACTTAATAGGCTGAAATTACTCATGATGATATGAAATCATGGTGCTCCTTTGGAACTCTTTTATATTTCAAAATGAATTCAGTGTGTACCCAGTGAGAAGTTACAAAACTAAACAATTTATTCTGAGGTCACTAAATGCAATGACTGCATTGTTACTTCTTTTAGGGAGAAGATTCACAGCTGTCTCAATGAGTTTCCAAACTGGAAAGACCTTGAAAGGTGTCTCAGCACTTTTCCTGTGGTGCCTGCTGCTCCCTCACTCCCTGGGCTGCCCTTCCTCTACCCCCACTGCTGACTCCTTTCTGAGCTTCCTATTTAGGACATGAAATTTGAGCCCCCTCAAAAATCTGACTACAGGGGTTGAAGATGTGGCTCAGTGGTGCAGCGTTTGTCTTTCATTTACAAGGCCCTGGGTACAATTCCCAACAGTCTTTGCTCCTCAAGAAGACACTCTGCCTAATTAAAATTATTGTTTTTCTTTAATGCATATGAATATATTGCCTGCATGTATGTAAGTGCACCTATGTTGTGTAATGCCCACAGAGGTCAGAAGAGGGCATCAGATCCCTTGGAACTGGAGTTACAGACAGTTGTTAGCCTCCAAGTAGGTACTGGGAACTGACTGCAAGAGCAACCAGTGCTGTTAACTGCTGAGCCATCTCTCCAGCCCCAACTCTGCATAATTAAATAACCCCCTTTAAAGGTAGGTTTAATGAAGACAATGTTAAAGCCTTTATGTATGTTTCTTGGACAAAGACTAACCCTTAATGCTACTGCAAAAGAATTTCTAGTGTTGAGGAACACACAGTTGAATTTACTTGATAATTTGAGCTTTCAATTGAAATATATCAGCCTAGCTCTGGGAAATTTTATCAATTAGTCCACCTACTTGTAGATGATATGACTAAGGAATGGATTGCATTGGACCTTGGAGTGACTTTATCAGAGATTTCTCAGGAATAAGTGCTAAAATCCAAACAGAAACATTAATCCTGATTTCATAAATAAACTTCCACACTATTGCCCCATATCTCTCACTGGAGCATATCCTAAAGTGCGCTCAGTGGCCTCACACATTTATTGATGATTATCACATTGGTGCTAAGAAAATCTTTTTTCAAAATTCTGGCCTTAAACTCCTGATAGACAAGATCTATAGTTGACTGAATTCTACTTACTTAGTGTGTCTTTAGGAACAATTAAATACTTTGGTTTAAACAACATTCCCTGACCTGGACGAAGAAAAGTCTCCATGAATGAGCTTCCTTAGCTGAACAAATTTTTCCAAACTCTTGCTAAAAAATATCCAAGGAACAGGCTACTAAAGTTACGAACTCTAAAATTCAGTTAATTGGGGACTGGAGAGATGGCTCAGTGGTTAAGAGCACTGGCTGCTGTAGCAGGCCCTAGTTTGGTTCCCAGCACCCACATGGCAGGTAAAAATTGTCTCTAACTCCAGTTTCAAGGGATCTGACACCCTCTTCTGGCTTCCACAGGCATTGTATGACACAGGTATACTGACATACATGCAAGCAAAACACATATACACATAAAATAAAAATAAATTAAAAATGTAAATGATTGGCTTATATTTCAGATGGAATGATTATCTCTTAAACTAAATTCCTCAAACTCCTTCAGTTTTCCTCAGAGCATCTACTACTAGTAAATCAAACTTTTCATCATACGCACATGATGTAATGAGATCATTAAATATGCATATAAAAAAGCCTAAGGATGATTTTACTTGTTTCATAAAGGAACTTAACTTCAATTATGAGATGGATATATATGGTTTACAAGAGTCAACCACATAATACTCATCACTGTGGGTGGTGTTCATCCAAGCCCTGTTCCTCTATAATTTCCTTAAAAGACACTGATTGGCTTAGGACTGATTAGGGAACAGTAACCTGGCATTTACTGGATCTCACATGGGTCTGTGGAACCAATCTTTGACCTTGTTTCCCCTCAGTTAGAAGAGCCTTTGGGCCTCCTCTGGATACATGAGGCATATTTGATCCTCTTTTAGTGTGAGTCCCACTAACTTTCCACTCTTGAAGGACAGAGAGAGGGATTTGATCAATATTTCAGTAATATGGTCATTTACATACTGTGTTTATCACATCTTTAGGACTTGCAAGTGAAACTGCCTGCCCATATAATGGCATTAGCATTACATAGTAAGTTCAAGGCCAAGGCAGGCTACAAGAGACCTTGTATCAAAAAACCCCAAATAGATAGATAGATACCACTTCACAGTTAATGGGGAAAGTCATTAGGAGACAAGGAATTGCATGTGTAACAGGCAGCTGGCCAAGAAGATGAACTCTCAAACTGGTCTGGAAATGGAACTTTTGAATTGAGCCAAGTCTCTAAAAGTCACTAACACCTTTTTGGCTTTATTTTCTTATGGTGCTGAGGACAGACCCCCAAGGCCTTGATCATGCTAGTCAAGTGCTCCACCCCTGAGCTACATCCTCAGCAACTCATCTTTTAATAAATGTTGCAGTAGCAACTGTAACAAATGACAAACTTTCAACCTGAGAGAGTCCTAAAACTCAGCTGTGTGTGTTCTAATGATGGGAAGGAAGCCTTAGGATGACTTTCCTGCACCTGTCATCTGACTTTAATTAATATAAATAGCCATATGGTTAGCTGCTACTAACCACAGCCTTAGTACTTTATCATTCAAAATGACACTGAGACCCGGGTATGGTGGCACACCCTTTTAATCACAGCATTTGGGAGGCAGAGGCAGGAGGATCTCTGTGAGTTCAAGACTAGCTTAGTCTACATAAAAAAAAAAAAAATGTCTGAAAAAGGAAAAAAAACCCCAAAATGAAGTATATTGTGAAACTTGCAGAATGGTGGAGACATACAGTGGTTACTGTTGGCTGTTGAACATTTAAAAATAAGTACAGTATATGTAGCTTGGCGATAGAGCTCGTGCCTAGTAAATGCAAGGTCTTGGGTTTGAAATCCAGTACTGTCCCTTTATAAAAAGGCCACATGACTAGGATTCTGAATACACAACTAGCACAGCACACAAATAGAACTGTGTTCTTTCTTCCTACTCCATTAGGCGTAGCTAAAGATGCCAGGGTCCAGGCTCCTGGTATGACCTTGGCCTTGGTGTAGTACAAGGGAATGGCTTTAACACTAAGCATGAGTCACACAGGTTAGAACTAAAACCTTACAATTACTTTTTGTGTTTGCTTTGGGTGTAAACCCTTATAATGTAGGTTTTTTTTTTTTTTTTTTTTTTTTTTTTGTGTGTGTGTGTGTGTGTGTGTGTGTGTGTATGTTTGTAGTGCTGAGGATCAAACCCAGGGCCCTGCACATGCTATGTTCTACCACTAAGTTATACCTTCAGCCTGGTTTGGCCTTTTATAATTCTGATACTGAACATTCTTGATATCATGTTTCCCATTTTAAACACTCACACAGTTATGTATCAACAATTGAACTTAGATATAATCTAGAATTTGACACCATGATATGCCATAGCCAATTATAGAAACGGAAAACACTGGCAGATAAGGCTAAGTACAGGAAAGCCGCTCTGGCCCACACAGGTGAGCATGAATATTCAAATCAGCCCTGGAATTAGCCAAACTAGCCTGACACCTTTCTCTCACACATTTTTTTCTTTTATCACAGAAATCACAAGTTGATTATATTGGAAATGGTTCTGTCACTGAATAATGAATGGATGTAGAATTCCATGCAGGAAATGAGAAAATGCTTCTCTCACCTGGCCTCATGTCTGCACTGGGACTCAGCATTCCCTCCTCAAAGGGAATGTCCATCCCTACATCCTCCAACGGGAGTCTGAAAAGAAGCAAAGAGCATAAAAAAAATCACGTGAGATTTTATTTTCTTTAAAACTGCAACTCAGAAAGCATAGGATAAACATTTCAACTGACTGGAAATAAACCAATATTTTTGAGTCCATTGTTAAATGTCTCCAAGTTAGAATGAAGTCTCTGTGTTTACTGTGAATGAGAACCAGGAAAGCCAATTTCACTGACACCATGCATTCTGGTTTGACTTACATACAGCAAACACTTCCCCTACCAGCTCACAGAGGCCAATACAGACTCAGTGAGAGTTCAGAAGTAGAAAACACAAGCAGCTGATTCATTTCAGGGACAATAAAATATATAGGATAAATAAATTTTTTCAACATGAGAGGCCACAGGTAAAGCCAGACCTCTTCTCTGTAAACGCCTCTTCCCACACGTGCATGGGCAGAGGAGAGCGTACTCTGCTGCTCAATTTTTAAGCTTATAAACTAGGAATATACCATCTACCTCACTCAGATGTTGAAAGATTAAGCAATGAAACTAAAGTGTTTACTGTTTCTGAGAAGACAGGACTAATGTCCCTTTCCTACTCTTCCTTTGAATATGTAGATTCCCTGTGAATATGTGCTGATAAAGATGGTTCTAGTCATGAACCATCTCTTGTTTCTGATCAGGGCTGAGCCCAGATCCATGTACAGTATGCTACTCGTAGGACAAGTGCAACTGGGAAACGGTGGAGGAAGACTTGACACATCAGTGCGTTCTCCTAGGAAGCTGATGACTATAGACTATGAGTTTCTCTTCACTTACTTTTGTTCCCTGACACTTGTTGAGTAAATTCTCATGTATCATGATCGTATACATTTCTACTTGTTGGCTTCCATGTAATTTTAGTCTTCTAGGGTGAGTCCTCATGATGTAGGCACTAATCTGTTTAGACATGCTAACTTTGTATTCAAGTTCTAAATTTAGTTCCTCTCTCTCTCCCTCTCTCAGTGGGACTTGTTTACACGCCAGTCTGAGTCTACCAAACATTTGCAGGTTGATCAGTTTTTCTAGCTCCAAATTAAATCCACTGAATACTGACAAAGCACTGTGCTGAAAAAGTAAACCCAATGCTTCAGTGAGGACTACACTTACCTTGCTTATTCAACAAATATGTCCTGAGTGTCTACTATATGCTGAGAATACAGAAGACCAAAACACCTATCCTCTTTCTCATAGAGATGGGAAAACAGAGTTGAAACAATGAACACTGCTCCACATAACTCAGAGCTGCCTCCCTGGAGAGAAGTGAGTATATGATCCCTGCTATCTCCATAGATCCTTTCCAAAAATACAGCTCCAAGAAGTGTTAAGTGTCCCCAAACTATATGCTAAGGCTTGGATCCCAGCCTGCGGCACAACCGAGAGGTAGTGAAACCTTTAGATGAACAGGACTGGTAGAAGACAGGTATGTCATCAAGGACGTCCTTGAAGGAGATAATGGGGCCCTGCCTCATCTCTGGCTGCTTCCTGGCTGCCATGAGGTGAGCAGCTGGACTCTGGAACTCTCTGCTGCCATATCTGGCTTCACCTCAGCTCGAAGCTGCATGGTCAATGAACCAGGGACTGAAACTTCTGAAACCATTGGTCAAAATAATTCTTCCCTCTTTTCAAATCAATCATCTCAGCTCCTTCGTTAGAGATGGAAAGCTGACTAACATAGGGATGTCTGTACAATATCTGTGGCTTTGGCTCTGTGTTTTTTTTTTTTAATATTTTTATTTATTATTTTCATTTTGTGTGTATGTGTGTATTGCCTGCATGTATGAGAGTGCACACATGTCATGCAATGTGTTGTGCAATGTCACAGAGGTCAGAAGAGGGCTTTGGATTCCCCTGGAACTGGAGTTAAGGATGGTTCACAGCTGCCATTGGGTGCTGGGGATAGAACCCAGGTCCTCTGCAAGAGCAGTCAGTGCACTTAACTGCTGAGCCATCTCTCCAGCCCCAGCTCTGTGTTCTTAAAAATCCACCCTATGTCTGAGGAGCAAGACAATGAACAGGGCTGGGAGGTGGCTGGGAGGGTAACTGGGGAGGGTGGCTGGGAGGGTAACTGGGAGGGTGGCTGGGAGGGTTGCTGGGAGGGTGGCTGGGAGGGTGGCTGGGAGGGGGGCTGGGAGGGGGG